CCTGTAATATCAAGAAAATTCACCTCTGAGCAGGCTTACTTACTGAATATTAAAATCAGAGTTGATATCCCAAAACATTTTCCTGTCTGCTCTTCCCTCACTCTACTATCACCCCTTCCATACACGAATACAAAAGTTCACTCATTCAACCATATACGTCCTTACTCAGGCAGTCTCTGGATAGAATAAATGGAGCCTCATGAGGTCAATCACTTAAGAGTAGGAAATCTACTCACAGAGTAGATTATGGGGAAATTATGGAGAGCATCTGTGGGTTCTTACCTTCTCGTTTTCATAATTTGTTGTGGGGTATGATGTTAGGTAGAAAGCAGGAGGGAGAAGGCGCCAGGGAAGTACATGTGCAAACAAATCAGTGCTAACGTTTAAGCATGAGTTATAGTATTGTTTGTGATCAGAGATGCTCTTGCTACTTATATACTTTTTATATAACATATTTCCTCATGTCACCACAACTTGTTTTGTTGCCTTTGGCTCTTAACATGCACTGTAGGGGCGTCTGGGTGTCCCAGTCATTAAGCATCTGCCCTCAGCTCAGGTCATAAGCCCCAGGGGCCCCCTCCTTAGTGGGGAGCCTGCTTCTCTCTCTCCCACTCCCCCTGCTTGTGTTCCCTCTCTCATTGTGTCTCTATCAAATAAATAAAATCTTTAAAAAAAGGTACTGTAAAAGGACTAGCAGTTTCTGGCCCTAAAGCTTATTTAAATCAATGATTCCAAACTTTAGATTTATGACATTGTTATTAATTTGTAACACGAATGCTTTGTTTAAAATGTAAAAATATTTATGCTTTTACTTATATGACACAGTATTCCTTAAGTTATCCTTAGCTATATGTCTATTTTTTTTAAATCAACTTGGACTCTTTTGTTTCAGCCTTATCTATAGAACACAGTATTATTTCTACCTTTACCTGTAGATAAAAATTGTATATATTTTGTAGTCTCTGTTAACAGATACTGAAGAAGGATAGTATACCATCATTTGTTGGGCTTCACAGTGTAAGTACAGATAGTTCTTTTACTTTCAGTACTTTAGGGATCAAGTCTTTTTAGTCCAGGAAACAACTTCATACCTCATCTCTAGCAGAAACACAATGGTTACTTGTAGTGACCGACCTATTAATGCAATCAACTTCATACAAGTGAGTATGCATAGCTTAAGAGGTGTCAGGCACTGTGAGGCTACAAAATATATGTAACTTTTATATTCCAAATAAAAGTATAATACTGTGCTCTACCATGGATGTGGCTGAGGCAGATTCAGAGCCTTTTTTTTTTTAAATAAAGTATGTTGTATGCAATCCCTTTAAGATTTCTTCTATTCAAATGAATTGTTGCAAATATATTCTAAGCACTTTTCATATTAACTCATTTAATATTCATAATTCTATGGCATAAGTGCTATAATATCTATTTTATAAGCAAGCATACTGAAGCCCAGGGATGTTGAGTGGTTTAATCTTCCTCACCCTCTTTATACCGTGTGTCTGTCTTTGCTGTATTCCACAAGGTGTAGCATGCAGTCAGTCTTGCGGCAGAGCCAGGCGGTCTGGTTCAAGTCTGTGCACTTTCGCATCAAAGCCTTCCTGTCATCCAACATAATTGTTTGTTTCTCAGTTCTTTATAACAGGGTTCACTAAAAGTACTTTTACTTAAAAAATAAACATTTTAAAAAACATTTTCTAAGCATTACTTAAAAACTTCCTTTTTAAGTAAAACTTGATAATTGTTTTAAAATTTTTCTTGGGGGCCCTGGGTGGCTAAGTTAAGGGTCTGACTCTTGGTTTCAGCTCAGATCATGATCCCTGGGTTGTGAGATCAAGCCCAGCCTCAGGGTCCATGCTCATTAGGGAGTCCACTTGAGATTCTCTCTCGGTCTCTCCCTCTGCCCCTCCCCCTGCTTGCATGAGTGTGCTCTAATAAAATCTTTAAAAATAGTTTTTCTGGAATACATTTGTTCAAAGACCTGCAACTTATAGCTAACTTACTAGAAAGTACTAGCACACCTAACAGTACTTTCAGGTATCATCACTGATTTTACAACACCTGTCGAAGGTGATAGTTTTTATTACCGGTAATTTACTGTTGCATACACATGGTAATGAGGAGCATATTGACATTTGATTAATTTCTTCATCCCCTTTCTACCAAGATGTCAAAGATTTTAAACATTGCCAATAATAACTATAGTGATAAGCAGAAGATACTTGTAATTCTTTTTCTTGACAAAATAAAGGAGTTTAATATCATTTTATAAATTGAGTTTGCTGTTAAATCTTCAGAATTTTAAGATTTAGGTCTTCCAGTTTTCCGTATAGATTATTGCTTGCAATAAATTTTATTACAGGTGGCATAACTGCATCTAAAGTCTAGATGTAATTAGTGTATAATTCTGTAAGGTCTATCAGGAAGCTGTTTCTATTTTTGGATATTGGACATTTTCTTTGTAGATTATGGTTATCAACATTTAGAATTTTATATTTAAACTTTAATTTTTAGATTAATAGAGTTTTGTGATCTCTCATTGCTAAAGTAAACTACCAGGGCCCCTGGGTGGGTCAGTGGGTTAAAGCCTCTGCCTTCAGCTCAGGTCATGATCCCAGGGTCCTGGCATTGAGCCCCATATCAGGCTCTCTGCTCAGCAGGGAGCCTGCTTCATTCTCTCTCTCTCTGCCTGCTTCTCTGCCTATTTGTGATCTCTGTCGAATAAATAAATAAAATCTTAAAAAAAAAAAAAACTACCTGTAGTGATTAAATTCTGATATCCATTTTTGACAGATCATGCCTAGGGTGTGTGTATTGATATGTTGTCATTAATAAATATTTTGGTAGTATTTGCTAATGTACATTAAATATATGTCAGTAGATAAACATACCCTAGGCATGGTGTGTAAAACATGAATATCAGAGTTTGTTCACAACAGGTAGGTTTTACAAAGATTATCTTAAGATTTGTTAGAGTTGTAAAATATTTCAAAAAGTATACCTGACCTTGTAAAATATGGCAGAAGAAAAAAAAATACATGGTATAGAAGCAGAGACTTCTTTAGAAGCAGAGAATTCCAAATATAAGTGTGCTTACATAGATAATAACTTTTGTTGTCATAAACTCATCTACATTATCCCCTCATTTTGGGCTTTAACCAACTTTCATATGTTCAGCTGATTCTAAGTGAATGTATTTTCTGACATAATCTTTTTCTGTATTGTAGGCATATTTCTGAGCCAACATCAATCAGTGTCAATTTTAGGATGTAATTTAGAACCATGACACACTCAGTTTATGTGGTGAAAGTTTTATAGAACTGTGTTGAGTATTAACAGTATTCCTATCTCTAAGACTACTAAGTCATTATTTCTATAATTTCTATTCCACTTTAATTTTTGACATTTTTCTTCTGTTTATTGTAACAAGGCAGTACTCCTCTCACAGTTTTGGGCTAGATTCAATTCATAAGAGATTTGTCTTTCTTCCTTTCTACTTAAATTTATTGAAAACTACTATTTTCATGGCTATTTGCCTTTAAAAGCAATTGTTCATAATTGAGGCAGATTTTCCCTTGTAGGAGTTCACAGCTGTGAAGAGAAAGTTCTCTGTCCCAGTGAGTTAATAAATAGGCTTTTGTGAGAATTTACTGGAATATTTTTTCCTGATTAAAGAGTCAAAGACTAAGAGTCTGTTGTTTTTGGTGCTGATAGAATCAAAACACCTGCAGCTGAGCATTTTACACTTTGAAAAGCAGAACTAACATAAGGCTGTCTTTTGCATAGTGAGTAGTTTGACAGCTATAATTTTTCTTAAAAAATTAAAATTCAGACATTACCTTTGTTCCAGATTACAGTGAAAGCTCATTGAAGCGTGCAATCAAAATAACACAGGCAGTATTTCCTACACAGGATAGCTTTGTGCATTCTGTTAATAGTATATGGATATTTAACTGGCAAATATGAAGCCATTTACTATGTCCACTGATTAGTGTTAACATTCCCCTTTCTTGTTCCACTTTGCTTCTTAATCACCCTATTAATAAAAACCTTGTTTGGGGAAAATGCATCCCTGCTACAGGAAATCATCATTTAGTCCAGCCCCTGCCACTGTCAGCTTTCTTAATGGCAATGCTGTTTCCATCCTAGTCATGCTGTTATCTGTACTGTGAGGTTAAGAGCACACCTAATAAGCTAACCTTCCTGGGTGTAAGTTCTGGCTCTGCTATAGTGGCAATGGCCTTGAGTGGGCTATTTATTTAGTCTCTGTGGCTTCAGTTTCCCTTTGTAAATGGGGATATTACTATACCTCATATCCTTGTTCCGAGGACTAGTTAACATTAGTTAACACCGCCAACACCCATCTCCTCAGTCTCTAGTCCTTTGCCCCATTTTATTTTTTCTAATAGCACTTATCACCGCTGGTCCTATATTGTTCAGTGTCTTTTCTCTTATCAGGAATGTGAACTGAACACACGGTTTTATTTTGGTCATTCCTGTAGTCCCACACCTAGACAACCTGGCATAGGTAGTGCTTAGTAGTGCTTAGTAGGTATTTGCTTGAAGACTATAGATGCTGGGTTAAGAACTTTACTATGCGGTTTTTTTTGTTGTTGTTGTTTTTTTTTTTCACAGTATGACCCTAGCATTCCCTACTCCCATATATTCACTTAGTCCAGATTTTCTCATTAGGCCACCACTCACTTTAGAAAGATACTTTGGGGTTTTAGGAATAAACATAAAATAAAAACTAAATTCTTATTTCCCAAAGCAAAGGATAAGTAGCACAATTAAAATGCTGGTATTATTTTCAAAGGGAATTATTAAAGACTGTAGTAAACTTAATTGTATACTTAGCCAGATTCTTTGAACTTTCAGTTTTTAATATAACATATCTACCTATAAAGATCTATGGAGATTTCAGGTTAGATAATGAATAGTACTTTATGACTAAAGCACATATACTTAATTACTATTTTTTCTTTTCTCTTTTGCAGATTAATGACTGCAGAGAGTGTGATCAGATTTGTCCACAAAGACCTGGGTGTAATACCAAGCTGGGGCGGTGCTACCCGACTAGTTAAAATCATTGGTACTAGGCAGGCTCTCAAAGTGTTAAGCGGAGCTCTCAAATTGGATTCAAAAAAAGCTCTAGACATAGGAATGGCTGAAGAGGTCTTGCAGTCTACAGATGAAACTGAATGTCTAGGTGAGGCACGAGAATGGCTAAAGCAGTTTACCAGAGGGTCACCAGAAGTAATTAGAGCTTTGAAAAGATGCGTTTCTTCAGGCAAAGAGCTTTGTTTCGAGGAGGCATTACAGATTGAAAAAGACCTAGTAGGAACAGTTTGGGGTGGACCTGCAAATAAAGAGGCTATTGCCAAGAAAGGAAAATTTAATAAATAGTTTTTAAAAATAAGATGTACTACAAGTAAAACCCCAGTGATTAACATTTATAGAAGTTAAATACCAGAATTACTTTGAAGGCTACACTAGTATTTGATTTGTTTTTAATCATTTATTGAATAGGTGAACTTATTGACCTAGTTTCCAATATATTTAGGTAATTATCAAGTAATCTGAAACATTTAGCTAAAATATCCCACACTTGGCTTAAAAGTTGTCATCAATTCCCACGCTATTTCTTACCCTATAACCAACCAAAGACCAGTTTTTTAAAAGGAAAAAACATTTCCACAAAACCTACTCCTGGATTTTTTTTTTTTTTAAGGTTTTATTTGACAGAGAGAGATCACAAGTAGGCAGAGAGGCAAGCAGGAGAGGAGGAAGCAGGCTCCCTGCTGAGCAGAGAGCCCGATGTGGGACTCGATCCCAGGACCCTGAGATCATGACCTGAGCTGAAGGCAGAGGCTTAACCCACTGAGCCACCAAGGTGCCCCTGGATTATTTTTTATATAGTATTTGTTCTGTCTTACCTGGAAATAATTTACAAGATAACTTAATGAAAATTGCGCTAAAGAACGAAAGTGGAGAGGGGTCAGAGACAAGATAAGAAAAGGTATGATCAATCATTTTCTTCTGCTCTAAGCAGCTAGGAGGGTAAAGAACTGGATCAGTTGGTGGAGCATGTGACTCTTGATATTGGGGTTGTGAGTTCAAGCCTCACACTAGGTGTAGACATTACTTAAAAATTAAAGAATAAATTAATTTTTAAAAAATTGGTGAATGGCTCTCCTTTTATTATTTTTTTATGGTTCTTCTTTTAAATAAAAAAGCTTTCCACCTTACCATCCTACAAATTTGGAGCCTTATTTGGTATTTTAATAACTTAGTTTTCTATTTTAAATTCTCTCCCAAACAACAGTCATCATGTGGAAAGTCTACTGACTCTACAAAATTGGCCATTATGTGTATGCCCTGGAATTTCTGAGCTAGTAATAAGTACTACTGTTTACTTAGTAATAAAATTTAACTTTACATCAAAACTTCCTAAGATGTCAAAAGGACTCATGAAGCATCTTCTAACATTTGCATTATATATCAGATTTCTGTTTTCTTCTGAAAAGTAGCTGACCTTTCTTTTCCATAACTAGCTATATTCTAAAAGTAGACTTAATACAAATGTACAACTCAAACTTTTATCATCTCTATAATACAGGCTCTAAAAAGCATGTAAGTCGAAGAATTAACTCCCAATTCTAACCTATCACAACAAGAGATAAAAGATACTTTCAAAGTAAGGACAGTTTTTATTTGCTATGGTAACATTCAATTCACATTTGAAAAACATATTAAAAATAACTTGTATATGCTTCAACACGATCCTACTGTTCTGAGTTAAATATATTAAGACAAACTCACATTACCATTTTTCAGAAACAAATTCTGGATTACCAAGTTAACCCAAGACTTCCTATTTTATCACAAATTCTATGTTTTATGTAAACTAAATTTGTGTCTACTAATGCTGTTTACAAATAAGCCTACCATTTAATTCATTAGTATCAGACCACTAGTGAAGACTGGCAATGAAAATCTAATATGTATGGTCTCTACTATCAGTTATATAAGAAATTCAAGTCTCACGAGCTTTAGGTTTATTTCCATACATACTTATTCCATGCAATTGCTTGTAGATTCTGTTTAAATATTCTCTGAAAAAAACAAACTTTCCTGAGTAGGTGACTAAGCTGAATGCAACCATTTCAAACCACCACCTGTTTACTGACTTGACCGCAAATGTCAAAATGTTTCCATCCTCTTTCCAGACTCAAACAACAGACAAATTATTTTTTGATAAACTCTAGTATTTATTAAATTATAAATTCTGTAATCAAAAAGAAAAATGCAGGTCAAGAGAAACCTCAAACTACAAGGACTAGACAGCAAAGCCTATGGGAAACGCCGTGAAGTATGTTACAGACAAGATTCTGAAACATGAGTTATGAGCTGTTTTCTTTACATTTCCATTTCAGTAACTTTACTATTTAATAGCTGTTATTCATCTATTTTAAAATCCCATATTCATATTTATTCTCACATTAATTAAGCTTCCTGTTCATACCAATACCAACATCTCATAGATGCCAAATTTGAGTAATGGTTTTATGTCAATCCATGCAGAAAAATAAGACACAACGCAAGAGTCAGATGAGGACTGCTAATGCACAGATAATACACATTGACCAAAAGAACTGAAGAAATTTAAAAAATATATAAAATAAACAGACCTCAAGAAAACTGGGTTATTACTAAACCGCTCTCAACTATTAACGCCAAGTTCCTTATATTAAATAAATTCCTCAACAGACATGTTAGACATTTTAATTACAAGTCTGTCCTCCCCATACCCTTTCCCACCCCAACTCCCAAAAATGCACTACCAGGGATGAGTATAATGTTATGTGGGCAGAAATTTACAGATAACCATTTTAACTTTGAGCATGGAGCGGAAGACTTTATTTAAACTTCAGTTACTGTGCACTGTCCATCAGGCCTTCTAGATCTGACACCAGCATTCACTGTTCCACCCCCTGCTACTGATAGATCAGTTCCTGATCGATCTGATCGATCAGATACTGTCTGGTTTGCATTAGGAACCAAAAGTCTCTGTTGGGTCAAGGAGTGTTGTGCAACAAGCGCAGATACATCCTCACTATCACTACTGGCATCTGATTCGGTTTCTTCAATGGAGGTGTCTGCTGCCGGTACCCTGCCTGAGGATGGCGATTCACGATCTTCTTCTCCTTCCCCCCTGTGACTCCTTTCAGCTATGCTGTCTCCGCTGAGCTGCAAATGAGCAAAAGAGTCTTCCAGAGAAGCGCTTGCATCAGGGGATGGTGTTGCAGGGCTTGTTAACTGACCATCTACTGATGTCAGGGGCCTTACAGAAGACACTAGAGGCTGAATGGAAGAAGCTCCACTCTGTGCTGATACGCTGTCCGCTCCGTCGGCAGAGCTCTCTCGCGCTAGGTTTACGGTATTAGCGTCACAGTCCAGCCTAAGTCCAGCTACTCCCTTCTTTGGTATATCTATTATATCCCGCTTAATCTTCCTGCGACGTCCATGTTCATTTCTCCTGTACTGAACCATATTTTCAAGATCAGCAACATACAGAAACCCAGCAATTAACATTTCAGTGCTCTTTTTACCTTTGGAAAAAGCGTCTTCCAGTTCTCTACTAGTGCGCTCATCATACTGCCACCACCCATTTCTTCCTTCGTAATACCATGCATATTCACCATTTCCTCTACTCGCGGCCTTGAGTTCTTCTGGTGACAGTAAGGTTGGCTTGTCAAGGAAATCTTCAGGGATTTCTTGTCGACAGAGGGCACATCGCTTTCCAAGCCATGAAGCTCCCTTTACACACAGATAGCAGAAAACATGCTTACAAGGCAGACTGACTGGGTGAACACATGTTTGCAGACAAATGGCACATTCAGGGACAGTTAGAGAAGGTGCAGTATTTGCACAGGACTCATTCGCTTTCCTGTTCGTAGAAAGCATGTTTATTGAGTGATCAATTTCACCACAGCCAGCCATCCTAAGAAAAGGAAAGAAAATACATGTACTATTAAAATTGTTTTTCAACTCTTCCAATATAATTCGACAATTCAGATTATTATTAAGCACCTATTATATACGTGTGCTACATAGTGGACAATGGGAAAACAAAAACAAAAGCCCACCTGCTTATGGAGAAGACTGACATTAACAAAATAAACACACACATGGATGTTAACAGTGCACTTCTGCTAAGTGCTAGGAATGAGAAGTACATGGTAGTGAGCCCTAGATCTAGATTTCTAATGGTTGATTTTAGGTTTCTTCCTGGATGTCTTGAGGGCAAAAAGGAAAACTGAACTCATTATCTGTTTCTTCCTTATTTACTCCGTAAAAGCTCCACCCTCCACTCCAGGACACCATTATCCACCTGCTTGTTCAAGCCAGAAATCCATCACTGAAACTGCCCTTCTACTCCTTGCAACCAAAACATCAGCAGGTCTTACCAATTTTATCCTAAGTATGTCCTGAATCCACCTACTATGCATTTCTACCCTTCCCTAGCCACCAAGTAAATACTGTTTATCAAATAACTGAAAATGTCTTTTAACTGGTCTAGCCTTACCTCTTGCTTAAAAAGTTGATTTTAGGATAAAGACTAGGATCTATAGGCCCTGCAATGGTCCTGCCACCCACCTCTCACACCAGCCTCATCTCTATCAGACTTCCCCTTGATCAGGCTTCCAACCACACTGGCCGCTCCCTTCAGTAGGTTTTCTCTATATGAACATTTCTTTACCTCCTGCCTTCCACATCCCCCATGGACTAACTACTACCCATCTTATCCCTCTTGAGGAAGTCTCCATGACTAGGTCTTACTACCATGTACTTCTCACTCCTAGCACTTATTAGAATTACAGTGTTACATTTATATGTATGTTTATTTTGTTAATTTAAGTCTTCCCCATAAGCAGGTGGGATTTGTAAAGGCAATACACAGATCACTTTGGCTCGTCTCTGTATTCCCATACAAGACCTGGCAGAGAGAGAACACTCAAATATTAGCTAAGAAAATGAATGTTTTTCAGTGGAGAATATAATACCATCATATAAAATAGATGTTTCGAGGGGTGCCTGAGTGGCTTGCTCCCCTCCCCCCGCCTGCCTCTCTGCCTACTTGTGAGCTCTATCAAATAAACTCTTTAAAAAAAAAAAAGATGTTTTGAGTTTTATTTTTTAAGATTTTTATGTATTTGTCAGAGAGAAAGCATGCATAAGCAGAGGGAGTGGCAGGTAGAGGGAGAAGCAGACTCCCCACTTAGCAAGGAGCCCCATGCAAGGCACAATCCCAGGACCCTGGGATCATGACCTGAGCTGAAGGCAGAGGCTTAACCGAACTACCCGAATGTCCCTTTTATTTTACTTTAAATATTAATTTAAACCACCTGGCTGACAAATTTTTTTTAAGAATTTACTTGTACATACCTTGGGAATGTATAAAAATTCTGTCAGTGCACTTCAAAATCAACCCAGAAGCAGCACACTGAAGACTATAATGATAAATTGCAGATGGCCAAGGGAGAAAGGTGATGTGAAATAAGGCAGCTATTACACAATGAAACCACTGCTAGATAAGAAATCTAAAAACCTGAGTCTCCCTCTTCCTTACTCTTCAGCACTGTTAAATCCAGTCTAAATTTCCTTACCTACAAATCTGAGTTTATAAAACTTAAGTGAGAACAACCAAAAAACACAAAAAACACAAACATCAAACAAAAATACTTTGTAATCACTAAAGCTTCACAAATGTTACAATCCTGTAAAAAGGGAGAAAATGACATGAACGTTGAAACTGCCCTAAAGCGAAAGGGAAAGGCACAAGATTTGTTAAACTGGATGACATTGGGCTTAAACACTCATATAAAATTTGTTAATTTCTGCCTTATTGAGTCATATGAACATTTATTTAAAAATTACCATAGTCCATATATGATGCCGAGGTTTTTTCCTTTTCCTTTCCTTTCTCTCTTTCTTTGACACAGAGAGAGAGACTGAGAAGGAACACAAGCAGGGGGAGTGGGATAAAGAGTAGCAGGCTTCCTGCTGAGCAGGGAGGATGATGTGGGGCTCGATCCCAGGACCCTGAGATCAGGACCTGAGCCAAATGCAGACATGTAACAACTGAGCCATCCAGGTGCCCCACAATGCTGAGTACTGAAGGATCTAAAGATACATGCCTACTTTGTTAAATAAGGAAACACACATGCAAGCAAAGCAGATAATCACAATATGGCCTAATTCCTGCAATAACATGTTGGGATGCTTATAAAAAGTAATAATGAGGGGGCGCCTTGGTGGCTCAGTTAGTTAAGCCTCTGCCTTTGGCTCAGGTCATGGTCTCAGGGTCCTGGGATTGAGCCCCGCATCAGGCTCTCTGCTCAGCGGGGAGCCTGCTCCCCCGCCCACCCTGCCCCCAGGCCTCTGCCTGCCTCTCTGCCTACTTGTGATCTCTCTATCTCTGTCAAGTAAGTAAATAAAATCTTTAAAAAAAAAAAAAAAAGTAATAATGAGAGAGAGGTTAGAAGATAGACATGGCTATAAAGTATGGGGTGCAGAGGTGTCTGGGGAGTGGAAGAATTTGAAGGCAGAAACACATACATGGCCCTGGGTCATATAAGCAATGGAACAGCAAGACATGAGGTTACAAAGGTAATCAGAAGCTAAATCATGAAAGTCTTTTTGTGCCCGGCTAAAGAAACATGTGATTTTATTTTTATCCCATAGTACTATGAAACCCAAATATTTTATAAATGTAATCTTTTTTTTTTTTTAAGATTTTATTTATTTATTCAACAGAGAGAGATCACAAGTAGGCAGAGAGCAAGGCAGAGAGAGAGGGGGAAGCAGGCTCCCCACTAAGCAGAGAGCCCGATGTGGGGATGGATCCCAGGACCCTGAGATCATGACCTGAGCCAAAGGGAGACACTTAACCCACTGAGCCACCCAGGTGCCCCAACCCAGATATTTTAAGAGGGCAGAAAATGATAGAGGAGTGCACCAGTGATATGTAAAAAGACTGAGGAATAGAGGTGAAGGTCTCACAGAGATTGGCAACCATTAATTAACTGCTGCTTAAAATGAATGACAGTCTCTCTGTACCACTGATTCTGCTGTTTTAAACAAGGAATAAGAATTTCTGCCCTTTTCCAAGATCAAGCATTCAAAATTGGCTAAAGTGGTTACAAAAGGTATAGTCAGTAAAAATATTTATGCTCATCAAAACTTGAGAAACAATCCTCTTAGGCTTTAAATCACAGCACATCCAGTCCAACAATCTATTCTCTTACTGCTTTCTCCTGTGTCCTTGGTTCTACAATACACAAGGTTCAAAATGATAGCAAGTTTTGGAAAAGATTTTATCCATCTAGAAAAGGAAGGGGTTCACAGTCTTAGTGGAAAGAACGGATCACTATGAAATACTTGATTTCCAAACCTTTTCTCAACCTTTAATTCCATTTCCAATCAACTCTTTTACCAGAAACTCTAGGTTACACAAATTAGTAAACTGTAACTTTTTCCCAACCTATGTAAGTTCTACCAGATATGAACTCCTACATGTGTTAGGCACTTAAAAGAGCTTCAAAGTATTTTGAAATAAACACTTGCCTTAAAAAATCTTGTCACTTAACAATCTAAGTTGTAAGTGAAAGCACTTGCTTCTCAACTGGTTAATCAATGCTTATTACCCCAGAAAGAACTGGCCATGCACAATACATTTTGTTAAGCTCCCTACAACTCCTATGTATTTCTTAAATACAAAATCTTAGTACTTCCCAAAATGACAAGAGTTAAATACCACATATTTCGATTTACATTTGGCAAAAGATTCAGAATACTTTTGTCTGTTCCAAGAAACTTTATACTGTGGTAACCGTCTATGTACATTACTTTCAATTCTGCCAAATATAAGCAGTACCTAATGTACCTGTAAGAGGTTTTGAAAAAAATCACACACTCACACTCTGCTTCTGGGTCTTCAGTTTTCTCACCAGTAAAGTTGGGATAATTCACATTCAACTCAAAATTATTATAAAGTGAATAAATTAAATGAAAGCATAAACCTGCATATGAAAGCATCTTTTAATTCATCAGGTCCTACTGCTTCATTTAAGCCTCATTATAACTTTAAACATTTTGGGAACAGGAAGAACTAAAATTAGATACAGAATGGGAGCACAAGTATTCTTACATCCCTTTCAATTTAGGTTAAATAAATCAACTGTTAATGAAATTCTTTTTTTTTTTTTTTAAGATTTTATTTATTTGAGAGAGAGCGCAGGAGGGGAGGGAGAAGCAGACTCCCTGTGGAACAGGGAGCCTGATGCAGGGCTCAATCCCAGGACCCCAGGATCATGACCTGAGCCCAAGGCAGATGATTAACTGACTGAGCCATTCAGGGCCTGTACCCCTCTCCCCCCGCTTTTTTTTTTAATTTTATTTATTTGAGGGAGACTATCGTTTGAAATACTTTACACCTAACCCTCAGATTACCCTATAAAATGGGTCCACTATTTTCCTTATTTTACAGATAAGGAAACTGAGATATAGAAAGCTCAGGTGATATGCCCAAAGGCTCCATTCATCAATGACTGAGCCAACTCCAAATCTATGTTTCAAACCCAAATGGACTAACTTCAGTCTTCACTCTTAGCTACTAATGAATGCCTCCATAATTATGGCCATGATAAAATATACTATCCAAGAGGAAATGCTGCGAAGACCTTGTACATTATGTTATCTTAATAAACTTAAACATTTTCTCTAAATACCAATGGTTTTAAAAATTTTATTTATTATGTATTTATTTTTAAAAATTTTATTTGTCTGAGAGAGTGAGAGAATGTGAGCGCGTAAGTGAGCACAAGCAGGGGGAGTAGCAGGCTGAGAAGCAGGCTCCCCGTGAGCAAGAAGCCCGATGCAGGGCTCAATCTCAGGACCCTGGGATTAAGACTTGAGCTGAAGGTGGACGCTTAACCAACTGAGCCACCCAGATGCTCCAGTTCTTAAACATTTCTAGATCACAGCATTATTAAGAAAAATCTGATGAAATGTTACATATAATTTCAAAGGATTCAGGATCTCTATGAAGCTGGTCTACATATGGACTCCTAAGTAGGCAAAAGGAATTCACTGAAAGGTTTTATGTAAGGAAGTGATAGGCTTAGTTGTTTTATTAAAATCATTTGGACAGCTTTTTGGAGGAAGACTTAGTGGCATGGGGCAAGAAAGAAACTAGGATTTATAGTAATTCAGATATAAGATAATGGGAGGGAGGATGCAGATGTAAGGTTCCAACAAATGAATACAAGAAATACTTAGGAAATGAAAGTATTTGCTTTCTGATCATTGGTGGCATACCCATCAAGATTCAGAATCTGAGAAGAGAGTACTGTTTCAGACATAATGACTTTGAGATACTTATAAGATCTCTGGATGAAGATAGGTAGTTGACAGCTCAATTTACTGGACTGGTACTCTGAAGAAATCTAAACTGAAAAAAAGTCTGATGAGTCACCAATACATGGTTCTTAAGAGACATGAAAATGAGTGAATGCCCAAATTAAACCTACAGAGAGAGCAGACAAAAGGCCCAACCACAGAACCTTGGATTATTTCAGTGTTTACTAATGAGGCAAAATAGCTTACAAAAGATATTAAGAAATGGTCAGAGAGAGATGGGGAATAAAGAGACACCACCACCAAAAAAGCTACAACGGAGACATTTGAAAAAAAAGACGGGTCAAGCAAGGAGGAAACTTAATAAAAGTTAACTATTAAACTCATGAAAATTTCCACTTTTATAGTGAAATGTATGGTGTAAAAGTTGTAAGCAACACACATAGCTATTTTGATTTCCCAGAGACTATCAAGCCTCCGATCAATAACTCTTCACTCAGTCAAGACAACTTCCTTTCCCTATTCCCCCAAAGACTATTACACAACTTCCCCAACTTCTTAGTTTAGAGATATCCTGGACTCCTCCATCATTCTAAAATTAGGTAAGGGTGAATCCCTGAAATTTATCTTTATCCTTACTCTACCTTATCATCACTCCTCTTGGCTCAAGACAGAGTACTGCTAGTTGTTTTGAAAAGCTAACCCCTCAATTTCTGGTGTTAGTACCATCCCAATTCCCTCAAGATTTTGGCTAATATTCTCTACCCCTAATTTCAATATCAACTACCATGCTTAGTCTAATGATCTCTTTCTGTCTCAATATACTTGATCCCACTGCACTGAATGATATGACCACCAACTCTTTTTCTAAAACTTTATACTGTGCATTTCCATGATGGTACTTTCTCTCAATTTTCCTATTTTATTGTTTTCTCTTTTCTCTAGTTGCCCTTAAGTACCAGTATTCTTCACAAAGGTGCTGTCTGTGGTCCTATTTTCATACTATATTCTGTGTCTACACAATCTATTGAATATTTCAACTTAATACATATACTACCATGACTCCAAAAATCTAATATCGAGAACATGCCAACTGTATTTCCAATCTGTATTCAAAGAATTTACCTCAGTATTCTCCAAGAACTTAAAATAAAACAGGACTAAAATCAAAATTTCTGCTCTCCTAAACATTCGTTCTCTTTCCTGTTTTTGATCTTGCCTAAAACTCAGAGCCATTCTGGATGCTCCCTTATTCCTTAGCCACTTCTCTTTTCCATGACAGAAACCTTTAGAATGTGTGCCCTTCATTCCCAAAGCCTATAATCCCAATTCTGGCTTCTTGGACACACTCTTGTACTAACCTCCCAAGTGGACTCCCTGACTTCGGTTCTTTCTCCTCTTCATCCCTTTTTCTCAGTTTAATCATGTCTAATTAGTCTTCTTTCCAATCTTCAATAGTTTTCTACTGCCTACATTATCTAATCCAAATTCCTAAGCACTGGCTTCTGAGTACATTGACATAAACCTTTAGAGTAACGCAGACTTAGCTAGAATCCTGGCTCCATCATTTATTTTTAATACATGGACCTAGGAGAGCATTTCCCAAACCTCTCCAAAAGAAAGAATTAGCTGGTGTGCTCTACCCTGGAAATTAGCACATATCTGCATTACAGTCTAAAAATCTGTGTTTTTAACAAGTTTTTAACAGAGAAATTTGGAAAACACTGACCTAGGGCAAATGATTTCATCTTTCTACTTCTGTTTCTTCACCAATAAATGAGCTATTACCATTTTTCACAGTAATTAAATTCAATAATCCAAATAAAATACCCAGTGAGCTCCTAGCAATATAGTAGGTACTAAATACTCACTCCCTTTACCAACTCTGACATCTCTTCCACCCTACCGCACTTTGCCACATGGGATTGCTCCCTGACTCCCCTAGGATACCCTGATATTTAGGCAGCTGTGCCCCTCCCTCATTCCCTTGGCTTGAAAAATATTTCCTAATTTTCTCAGCTTGTTAAAATTCTGTTTATTCTTCAAGATCAAGCTAAAAGTTCTTCTCACTCTGGACCATCAGATGGACTAAATCCTCTCAGTTCCAAAGGCATCTTATTATTACCTCAATATGGCATTTCTTCCACTGTTTAATTAGTATTTATGGTTCACTTCCTAGACCATAGTCTAGCTCCTTGATGACCAGCACCTATAATATTTAACCTACAGGATTTAAACACACACACACACACACAAACACACACATGGGCAGATAACATATGAATAAGATTAAATAAAAGACATATTTGCCCCAATTTTATTTATTTATTTTTTAAAGATTATTTATTTATTTGACAGAGAGAGATCACAAGTAGGCAGAGAGGCAGGCAGAGAGAGAAAGAGGGAAGCAGGCTCCCTGCTAAGCAGAGAGCCCGATGCAGGACTCAATCCCAGAACCCTAAGATCATGACCTGAGCCGAAGGCAGCGGCTTAACCCACTGAGCCACCCAGGCACCCTATTTGCCCCAATTTTAAAGAAAAATGCTTATAGGTTTCACTTTTCTTTTATCAGATTCTCAACACTAAGAATGATATTGCCATACTTTTAATAGATAATTAAAGCATCATATTGAAGTAGATAGCAATAGTTACATGTCAAACTGAGAGAACATGTGAAATAATACCTACAGGTTGGATAATGTTCATACTAACTTGGAAGATAGAAATATGTTCATCATGTAAAAAGTGTTCATACTAACTTAGAAGATAGAAATATGTTCATCATGTAAAAATATACATCAAGAATAGAATGACATTCAAAATGGGCAAAATCATGGTAATGTAATATTTTGAAGCATATTTCACAAAAACTAAACAATAGGAAAACACAACTGGTAAAACTGGGGGCTAGAGTGAACTCAATATTAATTAAAATGCAGTCATACATTAAATTTTTTAAAAATCAACTAATCAGGGCGCTTAGGTGGTACAGCTGGTTAAATGTCTGACTCGTGGTTTCAATTGAGGTCGTGATCTCAGGGTTGTGAGATCAAGCCCGTGTCGAGCTCTGCACTCAGCAGAGTCTGCTTAAGACTCTCTTTCTTTGTCCCTCTCTCCCCCACACTCTCTATATCTTTATTTTAAAAAATCAATTTAAAGAACACTTCAATTTAGTTAAACAAGCTTTTAATAACTAGTGTTTTTAAGTCCCGTTAAGTCCCTTATATTTATAGAATGTGATACTGTCTGCCTAGGTTGGTTTTTAAGTAAATTAGTATGAAAAGAGAAAGTAGAACCTAGAAGATCTAAAAATTCCCAGGTTTTTAGCCTTCTATGAGAAAATTCTTTTGTCTTGTTTCATTGACTTTTATAGAAATTTCTCCTGATAAGATTTCTGGATATCTACATTAACAATAATTTAACGTGAATAAAATTACTAACTCAATAAAACATCTAAAACAATACAAAATGCACATTTTGTATAATTAGAACTAAATATAACATATACTTGGCTAATTGCATTTTATCAGTTCATTTAATTTACTGCATCTTTGGGACAAACCATGATGCCATACTTACATTTCTATTACAAATCCCACAGCTGTCTGTCACAAAAATAAACAATCATCTTCACAGGCAGTCAAACAGTGTGAGGTATTTTGTCTTCCATTGCTGGTTCATGCTGTGCTGCAAAAGAAATTATTTCATCAACTTCTACACAGATTAAGATCAGTAAAATTAGTCAATTATGTACGATCCCTTAACAAAATTCAGTGGCAAATTTTATCTTAAAAATGAGAAAATTTCAAGACAAGGATACCTACTTTCACCACTGCTATTCAACACAGTACTGGAAGTGCCATTCATTTCTTACAGGCTACTCAAAACAGAAACTGCCCATTGCAAAAGAATGAAGTTGAACCCCTACTTCACACCACATACAAAAACTAACTCAAGACAGACCAACTACCTAAAAAGAGGTAAAACCATACAACCCTTAGAAGAAAACAGAGGGGTTTATCTTTAGGAAGTTGGGTTTTGCAATGGATTCCTAGATATGAATGATACCAAAAGCATGGGTAATAAAAGAAAAAGCAAATTGTGGACTTCATCAAAACTAAAACTTCTGGGCATTAAAGGACATTGCCAAGCAAGTTAAGTCAACCTACAGAATGGGAGAGAATCTTTACAAATCATGTACTGGTAAGGATTTCATATCCACAATACATTAAAGAATGCCTACAACTCAACAACAAAAGGACAAAAAATTTTTTTTGAATGGACAAAAGATTTGAGTAGATACTTCTTCAAAGAAGATGCAGAAACCACCAATAAATACATGAAAAGATGCTCAACATTATTAGTTATCAGGGGAAATGTAAATCAAAACCACAAGAACTGCTGCTTCACATCTATTAGGATGGCTATAATTTAAAAAAAAAAAAAAGGAAAACAGTAAGCATTGGCAAGAATGTGGAAAACTGGAACCCTTGTACACTACTGATGGGAATGAAAACTAGTCCAGCCACTGTGAAGTTTGGTGGTTCCTCAAAAAAATTGAACAGAATTACCATACAATCCAGCAATTCCACTCCCAGGTATATACCCAAAAGAATTGAAAACAGGGACGGAAACAGATACTTGTACACCAATGCTCTCTGCAGAATTATTCACAAAAGTCAAAAGGTGGACACAACCCAAGCACCCATCAGCAGAAGAATAAACAAAATGTGGTATACAAATACAATGGAGTATTATTCACCCATAGAAAGAAAGGAAATTCTGATACATATTATAACATGGATGCATGGATGCACCTTCAAAGTATTTTGCTAAGTGAAATAAGCCAGATACAAAAGGACAAATATTAGGATTCCACTTAAATGAAGTATTGAAAATAGGCATATTCAGGGGCACCTGGGTGGCTTAGTGGGTTAAGCCTCTGCCTTCGGCTCAGGTCATGATCTCAGGGTCCTGGGACTGAGCCCCTCATCGGGCTCTCTGCTCAGCAGGGAGCCTGGTTCTCCCCTCTCTCTGCCTACTTGTGATCTCTGTCAAATAAATAAATAAAAATCTTAAAAAAAAAAAAAAAGAAAAGAAAAGAAAATAGGTATATTCAGAGACAGAAAGTAGGTAAGTTACCAGGGGCAAGGGAGAGGAGCAAACAGGGTTACTGCTTAATGGATACAGAATTTCTGGTTAAAATGAAGTCGTTGTGGAAATGTAAAGCAGCAATGGTTGCACAACATTGTAAATGTAATTAAGGACAATGAGTTGTACATTTAAAATGGCAAAGATGGTGAATTTTATGTTATTTATATTTTATCACAATAAAAATGTTTTTAAAGTCAAATAGGTTCTATATGGACAAATTAGCCCACATGCAATATATTCCATAGCCACTGCCTTTCTACAAGAAAGTAGTGTGTGAAAAGACAAGGCCATCACATTAACTAGAACCTCCTGCTATGTATATGCATATCCAAGTTTACAATCGTTAAGTCAAACTTCTCCCAAGATGGCTCTTATTCAGGGAATCCAGAAGCACCAACCAAAACATTTCAGCCATTAATACTTCTTTTAGTATTCTCTCCTGCCACTTCACAATGCCCAGTGCTGGAGGCACATCACAACACAGAACTCAGAATCAAGCAAACATAAGGACTAAAAAGACTGTAAGCCTCACAGTACGAGCAAGAGGGAAGAGTCAAATTCTTCCAGTTCCATGTGCCTCTCACAATATAGGGGTTTTAGTGTTTAAAGATAAATCATTTATCTTTTATAGAAATTTTTCCCGGTGAGATTTAGTATGAGCCAGCTTATCCTACTTAATGTTTAACAGAACAATCATCTGTTTTAGAACCAGAGGATTTTCAAAAGTAACTGACTCAAAAAAAGTTTCTAAATAACCTTCTCGTTATACAGACTTTGGAAACTTAGTCCACACATTATATGGACTCCATTGTCCTGACACCCCTACTCCCCACCACAAACCCTTTCACTTTACCCTTTAGGTGCCTACAACTTCCATGGCACCACAGGAGACGCCATTCATTTCTCTCCTACAGGCTACTCAAAACAGAAACTGCCCATTTTTACACACAGGACAGGAGGAAACATTCTACTATTCTATCATTATTACTCTTAACAAGAACAGTATTTCTTTGAAGGCTCACCACTGACTATGTAATTACCTACAGCTCTTCTAGCTTAACCTTTAAGGCAGTGACTTAATTTTCACTATTCATCATCCTCTCCATCCTAACTTCTGACACATTACTGTGAGCCAGTTTAAATATGACCCATTCCAACTCCTAACTAAGAGGTTCTTAATCTTGCCCCACTGAGGCTGCTTATTAGAGATATAAGTTCTCGGGCCCTAACCCGGGACACTCTAGGCCAGTAGACACAGATGGCGTTTAAGCCAGCAATCTCACCTTAAGTGAAAGTGATGCAGGTAATCCATCGAATCCACTTTGAGAAAAACTGTACTCCGTTTTCAATTCCTATTATCCTAAATTCAGTGAATTTCACCTCCCTGTCCATCCAGCAAAAAAATATGATGATACATGCGGAACTATAAGCCACCTACAGTGCTACCTCTCTAAAATTGTAATCTTCGTCTTAGATTACAAACTCTGGTCCCTCCAGCTAACTTACTCATTCCCACAACTCTTTAATTTCACAAGGACCTCTAGTTTCTTGACAGCCTTCTTTTCTTAGGCAGTTGACAGTCTCATTTCTTTTCCTGCCCAATCTGGAACCCAACCATTTTAACTTCTTTCTTAATAGAATACTTGTCTTTCACATCTGTCTCTCATCTAAACATTCTCCACAAACCCCCATGTCTGCACACATCTTACAAAGTGACATCTCAGCTTCCATGCTTTAATCAAGGAATGCAGATAAAGAAAAACAGAAAATCCTTTTCTCATCTCTCATCTCATTTCTCATCTCTCCAACCAAATTCTGCCAACTTTTATCCTTAACACATTTGGAATCTATCCTCTACTCTCTTGCCATTGCTAGTGTCCTAGTTTAGACATGTATTACCTCTCACCTGAACTACTGTTCTATCGTGCTTCAGTAACACCCCTCAAATTTAAACCTCTGAGAGATATGCTAAAAAGGCACAATGGGCCTCCCATATGTGAAGCCCATTTTGGTTCTTCAATCTATACAATAAAGGCAAAGCTCCCAAGGACAGCTTTCAAAGGCTAAATCTCTCTCTAGTCTTACTTATCTCCTACCACCACTCTTACGGATTCATAACCTAGTTATACCAAATTACTCATACTTCCCTAAACCTCCCTTTTGTAGTTTTGTACTTCCTCCTCCTAATATAATGTAGCGCTTTTACAGCTTATGAATTTTACTATACTACCACTTTCTCGGACTATCTCCCAAAATTCGTTCCCTCTACTATATTTTGTACATTCTCCTATTACTGTATGGGGATAACCCATACACTGAAATTATTTGTTTGCTTTTGACTGTTCTATTAAGCCATCAACCTCCTGAAGATAAAGACTGTCTTTTATCTCTAAATGGTCAGTAAACTAACAATCAGGTTTTGTTGACTTGAAGTGTTATTTCTTGGATGAAGGAATAACTTCTTAAAGTAACTGTTGAGAAAAATAAAATACTGAAATAAATTTATTCACATAACATCATTTGAGTTCTGTGAACAAGGCACCCAGCCACTAAAGATATAAAGATAATCAAGTTCTAATCATTTCTTTAAAGAGCTTAAAATATACAAGAGGGAAGTTAATACACTTACAAATGTAAGATTCAAGCCATCTTTCTATCTTTTGACAAGCACATCATTCACCTACAGCTTTGTTCACTGGCAATGAATTCTCCAGAATGCGGATAAAAAACCAAGGATAAAAAACCAAGAATAAAACCAGTTTTAGTAAATCTTGCAAGCTACAGCAACTTTTCCAATTCCTGTAACCCATGGATAATTTTCAAAGTGGACCCTAAATGGATAACGGTTAGGGGGAGGAAAATAAACTAAAATCTATGTAGTATTCTAGATCCTAGCTATACAAACTGTGTCCCCAACAACTATATCAGCATTTACCTGGGAGTCCCTTACAAATGAAAAATCTGGAGCCCCATTCCATAGCAACAGAATCAGATCTCCAGGTGGTTCATATGCATACTAGAAAGTTCATGAAGCTCTCGATAACCTTAAAACAACCCTGTATATATGACTATACCCATTTTATAAATGAGGAAACCCAAACCCATAAGGATTTAACCCCAAATCACAAAGCTATCAATATAGGGAGATGGGAAGTGTTTCTTTAAAAGTGTTTTAAAAACACTTTTAAAGTGTTTCCTTAAAAAAGAAATCTTTTCTTCAGAGTACTCTATCTCAGAGAAGTCCAGAACAGCATCACCAAACAGAAATATGATGCAAGCCACATTTATAATTTGAAATTTTCTATTAGCCACATTAAGAACAATAAAACAGGTAAAATTAATTTACATACTTTAACCCCAAATATTTAAAACATTACCACTTCCAAATGTATTTCATATAAATTATTAATGTGGTATTTTATATTTTTGTGTATATACTCTTTGAAATTTGGTATTTATTTTATACCTACAGCACTAACTCAGTTCAGACTAGCCACTTACCAAGTGCTCAACAGCTCTATGTGGCTAGTGGCTACCATATTGGGCAATGCCAGTTTAGAATGTCTTGCATATTAACAATCTTTTGACATACTAAACTGGCAATTTATTACCAGAATTGTTGAATTAAGAAAATGAACTCCATGTTACTTTCTTCACACCTTTGCTGACCAGATAAAAAAGAAAACTGCATTTTGTGTTGTAATCAAAATTGATTGGTTTCAGTGATACCAATTCTCCCAAGCTAATCCATCCACTATAACCTCTGAGAATTATAATGCCAAGTGGACATAAGACAGGGCATAGCATGTAAATATTCAGAATGGTCATATGTAGTAGTCCTTAGAAAATTTCTAATTTGTAACCGAAGATTTTTTTTAAATGAGGGGAGAGGGAGGATTTTCCTTTCATCCAAAGATGTAAGATAAAATAGTGAATTCTAACTATAAGTCAGAATTAATTTGGTAAACATAAATAATTCAAACATACATAATTCTTGCTTCAATGAATGATTTACAAATTATACACCAAACTCAATATAATTTATGAATTACTATAGTAAAATTTACCACACTATTTTGATATGCAAATACCAACTTTCTTTAGGTGAAAATTTCTACAGAAAAGGACTATTAGAAAGGTAATATAAGAAGAGAAAAGATTTGGGGCACCTCGGTGGCTCAGTGGGTTAAAGCCTCTGCCTTAGGGTCAGGTCATGATCCCAAGTGTCCTGGGATGGAGCAACGCATCCCGCTCTCTGCTCAGCGGGAAGCCTGCTTCCCCTCCTCTCTCTCTGCCTATTGTGATCTCTGTCAAATAAATAAAAAAATCTTTAAAAAAAAAAAGAAAAAAAGAAAAGATTTGAAACTACATTACATATTTCTGCCCCTTAACAATTCTAGGGGAAAGGGGCGCCTGGGTGGCTCAGTGGGTTAAGACCTCTGCCATCAGCTCAGGTCATGATCCCAGGGTCCTGGGATGAGCCTCACATCGGGCTTTCTGCTCAGCAGGGAGCCTGCTTCTCCCTCTCTCTCTGCCTGCCTCTCTGCCTACTTGTGATCTCTGTCTGTCAAATAAATAAATAAAATCTTTAAAAAAAAAAAATTCTAGGGGAAAAAGATGACAGACTAAATTTCAAAATATCTAAGAGTTTAGAGATTGTCCGTGAATTTAAGTCATTTACCCACTCAACCAATTAGTAAATAAGTATAACTGAAAATGAAATAATACCATACTATTTATAATCTGTGACCACTCAACAAATTCACACTTCTATTATCTGAATATAAGGTTATCTTCTCTGAAAATATCTAGGACTAATTACAATTCCACTTTTCAAGTCAGTCACAAAATAAAAAAACCACCATTTTTCTCCACATAACAGATTCAAATAAATGATTATCTTTTCAAAAGAACTTATCAAAGAAAAAGGAAAGTATATAATAGCTAAAATATCAAATTATAAGGGGCGCCTGGGTGGCTCAGTGGGTTAAAGCCTCTGCCTTCAGCGTCCTGGGATCAAGTCCCACGTCGGGCTCTCTGCTCAGTGGAGAGCCTGCTTCCCCGTCTCTCTCTCTGCCTGCCCCTGCCTACTTGTAATCTCTGTCAAATAAATAAATAAATAAAAATCTTAAAAAATATATCAAATTATAAAGATTTGAAGACTTCCTTTATTTTCCAATTACTGACAGCTGTTTAATAAAAGTTTTTACTCTTTAATTCAAAATACACAAAACAGAAAATGTTCTATATAAAAGCTAGCAGTGACAGAAAAGAAAAATATTTCAATGAAACTTCCAAATTGTAGAATAGAAACTCAAAAAAAAAAAAAAAAAAGGAAAAACCAAAGACCAGTGAACGAAAAAACAGAGAGAAGGGATATAATTTAGCAGATACATCTTAGTATTTCTTAAGAGTCTCAAATTGAGAGAAATACCTAAATGCCCTAATGTTTCCATTTTTAGCTTTCCCTCTCATCCCCTGCTAAAACTCAGCTTACAGAAAACACAGGTCATACTGGGAAACAGAAGTCTTTAGTCAAAAATCATTTCAACTAAATGGGGGCCAATACTTGATATGATTTTATTTTATCCATGTGGAAAAGCCTCTGAGTGATATGTTCAGAAGGCAAAATGGGCTTCCCATATGTGAAGCCCCATATTGGTTCTCCAGCCTTTACAATAAAGGCAAAGCGCCTAAGGACAGCATTCAAAGGCTTTTGACCTCAAACCTAAATCTCTCTCTAGTCTTACTTATCTCCTACCACCACTCTCACAGATTCATAGTCTATTTATACCAAATTATTCATACTTCTCGAAACCTCCCTTTTGTAGTTCTGTACTTCCTCCTCCTAGTATAATCCAGCTTTTATAACTTATGAATGCTACTATACTACCACTTTCTCTGACTACCTCCCCAAAATTGTTCCCTCCACTATATTTTGCACATTCTTCTATTACTGTATGGGGATAACCCATACACTGAAATTATTCAAGCCCAAAATGAAGCTTGAACTCAGGACCCTAAAATTAAGACCTGAGTTGGGATCAGGGGTAGGACACTTAACCAAGTGAGCTGCCCAGGAGCCCCAACACTACACTATCTTAAAGAATTACTTCCTTTACTGTTTACTACTCCCCTTATAAAACATTACTGTATGGCAATCTATAACCTTCACACTCCTCATATTCAAGCATTAAACCTTTACATCTCCCCACCAACTGTGGCCTCTGCATTTTATTTTAAGCAAAACATGAAATGTGAATGTGAACAAATACTGTCTTTTAATCTCATCAAACATGGGGCACCAGGGTGGCTCAGTGGGTTAAAGCTTCTGCCTTCCGCTCAGATCATGATCCCAGGGTCCTGGAATCCAGCCCGGCATTGGCTCTCTGCTCAGTGGGGAGCCTGCTTCCTCCTCTTTCTCTCTGCCTGCCTCTCTGCCTACTTGTGATCTGTCAAATAAATAAATAAAAATCTTTAAAAAAAATAATAATCTCATCAAACAGACGTTTCAAAGCCTGTAGCCATTTTGTAAATGAGAAAGGCTCTGTTGCTAATTATATGTGTGACCCTGGTCAAGTCCTAACTCCCTGGTATTTAACCCTTCTCTCTTTTTTCTGTAATTCTAAATGCTTTAACATAAATTTAATAGGTTTTATTTTAATTAATCCAAAAGGTAGTAAGCCATAAACACTAAATATTCCATAAATAGGCACAGGTGGCTGTAGAAGAATGTTAATAAAATGGTTTCCATATCCACAAAGATTATTCCTTGTCCAACCTGTTGTTTCACAAATTCATGTTCCTTAGGCACAATCAAGAACAAGGGAGGGGAATGTAAAAAAAAGGTAGCACCCTCTGTTACCGACACTGGGGGGAAAAAAAAAAATTCAACTACTCAGCTGACAGTACGTCA